GAAACCATCTCCATGGTGAGGGTAAATAATACCTGGTCATGACAACTGGCCATTCTCTTGAGCCCCAGACCATTGCTCACAATTCAGGGTTCTGCTGGTCCCTGCCCTTGTTTGCCCTCATGTCCCTGGTATTCCTCTGGGAGGTGGTGAAAGGAGCTATTAATTGGTATGCCATTCACCCCATCCCAGTGAAGTGGGAATCCCCACTGTACAGAGAGGGGACATTTATAAGGGGTGTCTACTGTTGTTGTGTGTCCCATAATGCCAAGTGTTCTTGGTGGCCTTTTCGCACCCTGAGAGAGAGCAAATGGCCCACAAAACAGAACTTAACTGTAATTCTTTATGAAAGTTTAGGCTGGAAGGTTTCCAGCCTAAGCGGAATTCAATTATAAGGTTCTGGCTTGACAAAAGTCTCAAGGACACTATGTAGGTTGAGGCCTAAACTTCTCAAATTGCCAGCACCACAGACAGCATGTCACATCTGGATTTGAGGGAATTCCATATGCTGGCTTTTATCAAGAGGAAGTGTCCAAAGATTAGCATGATATTAAAGGTGCCGATCTATTGTGTGGCTGTAATATCCTGGTACTGACTCTGTGTTGTACATAAGGGGAATTGGTAGGCTATTAACAAGAAGAATCGCCTGGATAGATTTGTGTTTCCTGAGACTTTCATGAGCTTTGCCCACCAGTTCTGGTAACAGTTTCTATGGTGATGATAAACATCACCCATCCACACACAGTGGCCTTTCTCCTGGCCCACAAGCCCAGACCCAGGTCCCCAACCCAGGATTCTACTAGACCCAAACCGTGCTCCTTCTCAGGTCCCTGGTGTACCTCTGGAAAGTGGTCAAAGGAGCTATTCAAGTGGGATCCCCATTGTAGAGAGAAAGGACACTTGGAAGAGGTGTCTATTGTGATGGGGCCTCTCACAACACCAACGATTATTTGAACTCCTTTCTCAGCCCAACAGAGAACAAATGGCCTACATAACCCCAATTTCTATTAAAAGTTTGGGTTGGCACATGGGCAGGTTAAGTGAAAGCCAGTGGCAAGTTTCTTCCTTAACAAATGTCTCAGGAACATTTTTAGGGTGATGCCTGACATTTTCAGATGATCAAAGAAACAGGTAGCATGTAGGATCCAGACACGTATGAACTCCATATCCCAGCTTTCATTAACAGGATGTGCCCACAGGTTGGCATAGAACTGTTACGTGGAATGGTGAAATATATGTGCTGGTCTATTGTGTGATTATATAATCCTGGCACTGACTCTATATACGCCACAAGGGACATTGGTAGCCGCTTAGTAAGAATAATGGCCTGGATGAATTTGTACAAACTATGAATCTATAGCAGTTTGAAGGAATCTTGTGGAAAAAAGGCATCTCACCATAAATAAACTGGACCCTCAGACCTTGTTCCCTGAGATTTATAAGCCCCATCCACCAGCTTCTCACTGGTAGACATCTCCCTGGTGATGGTAGACAATATCTGGCCACACTCACTATCCCTTCATCTCACCCCACACTCAGACCCAGGCACACAACACAGAGTTCTGCTGGGCTTAGTCCTTGCTTGTCCTCAGGTCTCTGATGCCCCTCCGAGAGGTGATAAAAGGAGCTATTCATTTGGTGTGTCACTCAGCCACGGGAATGGGGATGCCCATTGTACAGAGAGGGGACACTTGGAAAAGGTGTCTGTTGTGATGGAACCTCCAATGACACAAGTAGTTATTGAAAGCCCTTCTGACAGAGAGATAATGGCCTACAAAACATAACTTACCTCAATTCTTAGTGAAAGTTTGGGAAGGCCTCTGAGCAGCTTATGTAAAACCAGTAGTAAGGTTCTACCTTGAAAAAAAAAAATATCAGGGACACTCTGTAGAGTGAGGCCTGATTTTTTCAGATGGCCAAAATCAGTGAAAGTCTAGAGTGGCCAATGGACAGCCTAAATAAAGTCAGTGACAAATTTCTGCCTTGACATGTTTCAGGGACACACTGTAGGTTGAGTCCTATCCTTTTCTGATAGCCAAAAATAAAAAGTAGCATGTCGAATCCAAACATGAAGGAACTCCACAAGCCAGCTTTCATCAAAAGGATGTGTCCAAAGGTTGACATGAGGTGAAATGTGTGTGTTGACCTATTATGTGATTGTATCTTTTTTCTTTTTACGGACTTTATATAGTCCACAAGGGACATTGGTAGGTAGCTAATAAGAAGAATGGCCTGAATGGATTTGTGCTAGCTATGCATATATATGTTTTGTAGGAGTCATGGGGGAAAGAGGCACTTTCCCTGCAGGTACTGTTCCTCTGACTCCTGAGACTTTCAAAACCCAGCCACCAGTCCCAAGAGCCCTCTCCATGACGATGGTAAAGAGTACCTGGCCATGCCCACTGGCCTTTCTCCTGGTGCCCATACCAGGACTCATTCACTCACCACAGGGCTCTGCTGAACCTCACCGTTTTCTGCTTCTGGTCCCTGCTTGTCTTCTGGGAGATGTTCACAAGAGCTATTCATTTGGTTTGCCGCTGAGCCACGGGAAGTGTGGGTCCCCATTGTACAAAGAAGGGAGACACTTTAAAGAGGCTTCCATTTTGTGGGCCATTTGCTGTCAGGGAGAAAAAGAGCCTCCAAAAACCACTGGTGTCCAAGGACACCCCACTGTGACAGTAGACACCTCTCCCAAGTGTTCCTTCTCTTTATAATGAGACTCTCTGCTTCTCTTGGCTGAGTGACATGCCAGATGAACAGATTGTTTGGCCACCTCACAGAGGAGCACCCGGGACCCAAGGGCAAGCAAGGGTTGTGTCCAGCAGAACCCTGTGCAGTGTACTTGGGCCTTAAGTATGGCAAAATATTATTTACCATCACCATGGAGACGACCCCTCAAGTGGTTGGAAAGTTTCAGGGGTCCAGATCTGATGGGCTAGAACCTTTATGGTCAAGTGCCTCTTTTCCACAGGACTTCTTCTAATCACAGTATTTAACTAGCTCAAATCTATCCAGGCTGTTGTTTTTGCTAAGTGCCCACCTACGTCTCTCATGGATTATATAGGGTTGGTATCAAAATGGTACAGTCACATAGTAGACCAAAACACACGTTTCACATCATGCCAACTTGTAGGTACATTTTCTTGATGAAAACTGGCAGGAAGAGTTCCTGCATGTCTGGACCCAGCATGCTACCTGTGGCCTTGGCCATATGAGATGTTCGGGTCTCCCCCTACAGAGTGTCCCTGAGACATTTGTACATACAGAACATTTCCAGTGGCTTCAGCTTGGGCTGCCAATGGACCAGCCCAAACTTTTATTAGTAATTGAGGTTAAATTCCATTTTGCAGGCTCTGCTCTCTGTCAGGTTCAGAAAATGCCTCCAATAACTGTTGGTTATGGTCATAAGATGCTCCTCTAGGACAGTAGACACCTCATCCAAGTGTCCCTTCTCTGAACAGAAGGAACTCTGCTTCTCTTGGAAACAGAAGGAACAGTCCTTTTAAGACGTCTCAGAGAAGCACAAGGACCTGAGGGCAGGCAAGGGTTGGGCCCAGCAGGATCCTGTGTTATTTGCTTGGGTTTGGGTGTGGGGGTCAGGAGAACTGCCAGTGAGTGTGAAGAAGTGTTGTTTACTATCACTAAGGGCCAGCTCCCAGAACTGGTGAGCAGGATTTATGAAAGTCTCAGAGCAACAGTATGAGGGGCCAACAATTTTATGGTCAGCTACCTCTTTTCCACAGGACTGCTTTAAATTACAATGATGTTAACTAGCAAAAATCCATCCTGGTCATGCTTGCTAACTGCCTACCAATGTCCCCTGCGGACTACATTCAGTTGGTATTATGACGGTACAGTCACATAATAAGCCAAGACACATTTCACGTGGTGTTTGGACTCAACAGGCTACCTTTGACTTTGGCCATCTGAATTAAGTCAGGCCTCACTCTAGGAAGTGTTCCTGAGATATTTTTCAAGGCAGAAACTTACCACTGGCTTCCATTTGGGCTGTCTATTGGCTAGCCTAAGCTTTCATTAAGAATTGGAGTTATGTTCCATTCGGTAGGCATTCCATGCCTGTCAGAGTGAGAAAGAGCCTCCAATAACCACCACAGATGTAAGAGGGGAAGCAGCAGGATAAATTCCCTCGATATGAGTGTACATTGGTGAGGAACATGTCCTTCTGAAGGGCATCAGAGTTTTGCTTTGGGAACCCTCATAAGAACTTTTGTCATGTGACTCTTCATTTATATTTTTTCACTATAATAAAACTATAATTACAAATATAATACTTCTCACGGGTCCTCTGAGTCACTTAATGAATTATTGAGGGGAGTAGTTGGAGTCAGCAGATCAGAAAAGAGGGACTGCTGAGGATTCTTGAGCACATGGTAGATATTCTAACAAGATGTGGTATTGGTAGGCACCCTCAAGACAAGTATGGCTCATGGTGACCCTATTAATAACAGATCTGAATCCTGCCCTATCCTGTGCCATCCTTATCATTTCTTTTTTTTTTTTTTAATTTTTTGTGTGCGTGTACCGTCAAATCAGATCTGACTGGTACAGGAGGATATTGCGCCTCCTTCTCCGGCAGAGCATCTGGTGGATTCGAACTGCGTTCCTCTGGGATTGCAGTGCAGCTTCTTGCCACTAGGCCACCAGAGCTCCCCCATCCTTATCATTTCTGACACAGTTGAGCCCATTATTATAGTCACTGTGTCAATCCATTTCATTGAAGGTCTTCCTTTCTTTCACTGATGTTTCCAAAGATAATGTCCCTTTCTAAAGAATAGCCTCTCCTACCAACAAGCCCAAAGTATGAGATACAAAGCTTCATCATCTTTACCTCCAAAGATTAGAATTTTTCACATGTATCTTTCTACTCAATTTAACTGTACCACCATTTTTTAGTGACAGGGATAAGAAATCACTATAACTATTACTTCTACCCCCCCCAAAAAAAATCAGACTGATAAAGTATAACACCAGAGTCATTAGGTAAAAGAAATGGAAATTTTTATTGAGATCAAAGTATTTTAGAAATTACTTATTTTGATAGATAAAGACCAAACTCCTAAGAATATTTCAAGATAATCAATGATTTCACAACCGTTGGATATAGAGCATCCCTACTTGAAAGTCATAATCATATATGTGAAGTATTTCAAGGTATTCTTAAGAGAAAGACACTAAATAACTTGTTCTCCTCTATAAATTGATTATCCTGGACAAGTAGCTACAAAGAAAAGAGCTATTAAGACTATTGCAGAACTAGAGAGATCTCTTATGTGAATCCATCCTTTTGATTTTAGGATAATCTTTGAAGTAATATATCAGAAAGTAAATTATTCCTAATAAGCTACATGCCAAGTTTTCTATGGTTGCTTATAATGCTAATGTTATTCAAATGCTAATTCACTTAAATCAAGAAAAGACCACAATATTAGTGATTATAGGAGATGCTTGGCAGCTGAAGTCTTCACACCACTGTTATAGTTTTCTTTACGAATTTTTCTCAGAAATTTTCATCGTGACTGTCTTGACCTCAGTATATTCATGAATTCCATATTCTCCCCTAGAGAGAGAGGGGGGTTGGTTAGTGCCAGTATGTAGCACAACTGTACAAACATGTTTGTATAGTCCATGCTATGGTACAAGTCAATTCTTGTTTATCTAAGATTAATTGAAAATTGCAGAGTGTGGAAGTATTTTAAATAGTGACTAGCCAACCAGCACTTCTGGGATTTCATTAATCCTCTTGGGAGAAACACTCTTAAACTATTTCTTGAATGTTAAATAATAATGCCAAAGAATTCACATTGATTGTCCTGGAGATTTCCCTCCTTTTAACCTTCTACCTGAATATAAAAGAGCAAACCAGTAAGATTAGCACAGAAGGAGATTGTGTATTGAGATCTCCTGTGCAGTAGATGGACTGTGGATTCAAACCAAATGCCTTTGGGATTGCACACAGATTCTTATCACTAGGACATTAGAGTTGTTGTTACGTGCCGTTGAGTGGAGTATGACACTTACCGACCCTATTGAACCCCATTTTATCTTGTGCCATCTTCACACTTCTTGACACGCTAGAGCCCATTGCAGCAGTCACAATGTCAATCTAACTGGTCAAAGGTCTTTCTCTCCTTCACTGAACCTCCACTCTTCCAAGTATCATGCCCTTGTCAAAGGAATAGCCCCTTCTGGCAACATGTCCAAAGTATGTGAGGTGCAGCTTCATCTTCTTTGCCTCCAGACAGCACTCTGACTGCACCTTCTCCAAAACCTATTTGTGTGTTCTTTTGGCTGTCCATGATGTGTTTGTTTAGAGCTCTTCTTCAACACCACAGATCAAAGGCATCAATTCTTCTTCTGTCATCCTTATTGATTGTCCAGCTCTCAGATGCATAGCTAGTGATTGGAAAGACTATGACATGAATCAGACATACTTTAGTTGTCAAACTGACATCACTACCCCTCAATAATTTGGAGAGGTCCCTAACTGCAGACTTACCTAGTACAATGCATCTCCTTATTTCCTGACTGCTGGTATCAAGGGTGTTAATTGTGAATTCAAGCAGGACAAAGCTTTGACATTTTCAATCTCTTCTCAATCATGCTGTTGCCTGTTGGTCCAGTGTTAAGAATCTTTGTTTTCTTGACATTGAGATGCAGTCTAAATTGAGGGTTGCATTCCTTGATCTTGTGCAACAAGTGTTTCAAGTCCTCCTCACTTTCAGCAAGCAAGGTTGCATCATCTATATAGCGCAAGTTATTAATGAGTCTCTCTCCAATACTGATGTTATCCTCCTTTTCATCGAGTCCAGCTTCTAGAACTGTCTGCTCAGTTTACAGATTGAATAGGTATGGAGAGAGTATACAAACCTGACACACTCCCTTCTTCATTTTAAACCATGCATTATTCCCCTGCTCTGTTCGCATAATAGCATCCTGGTTCAGGTATATGTTTTGCATGAGCACAATTAAATATTCTGGGATTTCCATTTTCTCAGTGTCAGCCACAGCTTATGATCCACAGTCAAATGGCTTTGCATTGTCAATAAAACACACATAGACATTTGGTATTTTCTACTTTCAGCCAGGATCCATCTGATATAAACAATGATATCCCTAAGGCCACCAGAGTACTTGAGGATTATTTTAGGTTAGCAATTATAGAATTATCTTTAAACATCTTTCTATTAATTACTTATTTTTAAGTTTGCCAAATTTCATTAAATGTAGACTGAGCTTTAAAAGACACAGTATTGCTCTCCCCCCTGTATTTTAAAGAAGGAAGTTGTCAATATCAACACTCCAGATCTTTATGAAGTTGTTGATGGCTGTATTGTTGGCCTAATTATCTTTGTCTCAAACTTAAATTTTGATTAGCTTTATTGAAACAAATGATTTGTGAGGTCCATTTCAATTATTTGTTATCATGACTGAAAAATACACCATTTAATCAACTTCTATTTTCTGTTTTAGCTCCAAAAGTTATTCACTCAGGTAATTTGCAAATTTAGGATACACACCAATACTTCAAGAAATGAGAGTAACTTTTCTTACACTGAAGACTTTTAAAAAAATAAATGCACCTGATTAACTTAGTGAAGAACTATATTCAAATACTTAGAACTCCACTTATAACTTGCCTATCTCTAGTAATTGTCAATTTGTAATTCTTTTTCCTCAAAATAGAGTTATATTCATATATGCACCCAAAAATTCTAAAAGATTTCTATTTTAATCACTCCTGTAAAATACTTAGTGTGGTCACTTATGAAAGGTAGAGTATTAAATAATTAAATGAAATTAAATTGCTCTTCTACTAACACACTTTGGAACCTATGGAATAAAACCATCTCATAAACTATTTGGTAGCTTGATATCCAGAAAATGAACAGAGAGAAATTTTATTTAGGTAGGTAACCTTTGAGTTGATTCACTATAGTGGCAAGCATTTTTAAGAAGGTAAACAAGTATCTTAATAGAAACAACTCTTACATTTCTCGTCCATGTCCAGACATCTTGAATCCTCCAGCAGGACTCTGAGCAGATGCTGCCAAATAGCAATTCACCCTGAAAAGTAAGAAAGTCCTTTATGGTAAGTAGGTAACCTATGAAATAAGTGCTTATTTTGGAATTCAAAGAAAATTTTAAAAACTCCAGTTAATTTCAATATATAATATGTAATGCAGTAAGAAAGCATTTTGTAAACTAGAGTGGATAGTGATTCTGGTAGTACATCACATCCCTAAGAAGCAGTAGTTTGGGTTCTAAAAGAATGAATAGCTTATATGTCACATGTGGAAGGATATCATGTGCTGAGACTTGAGACTGCTGAGTTGCCATTCTTTCCTCTCCATATACAGTAATCTTTGTCATTTTCTTGAGGCTTGGAAATTTAGCATACTGGAATCAATTTTAATGTTCAGTTTCAACATGTATTATGTCACAAAGTTCATTTCTCCCCCCATTATTTGGTTTAATGCACTTATTTAAACAAGGCTTTGGAAGGAATTATATTTGATTAATAATTCATTCATGTTATTATATACTTTGAAAAATGTTTAAAGAATTTTTATAATTAAAATGTTAACATTTTTGTTCATGTAACTACATAAACGTAAATAACTTTATTAAATTAAAAAATTATAATTTAATATCCTGACTAGGGGGAAGCTGGAAGACGTTTATGAAGGCCATTAACAATTTTTTGAGTTTCCAATTAATTTCTTGGTGGCCAAAGTAAACAGTAAATCTAATTAATAACATAATTCTCACTGCAGAGAGGATGAAAAAATACTGTTAAAGGAGAAAATGCTATTGTTTCACACTTTCTCTTCTTTGATGCTATTATGATAGATTATAGAGACAGACATGCTCTCGGGGTTTTTTTCTTTGTAAAATAAGGATAACATTTAGCAGCGTTGTTTTCAGATAAAAGCAAAAGAATATGTAAAATTTCATAGGGCTTAGTGCATGGTACATCTTCAATAAATGAAAATAACGTATGTTTATATATATAATGTTGCATTATTAATCATTTTCATACATTAATGCACATCAATTATCTAGAGAAGGGCTTGTTTTTACAAAAAAACCTGTTGAAAGAAAACATCTAATTTCATAGACAACTAAAAACCAGTAGAATCATTGATTAAAAAAAATATATAAACTGGTTTGGGGCTTAGGAGGGCTAAACATATGGATTGTACCAATTTCTGTTGTTGAGCCTTTTTCTTTTAAAGCATTGTAAAAGCTCCGAGTGAATGTAATGTGTAACCAGGACAGAGATTTGGAGTCTGAAATAACTCTGTGATTTATTGTATGATTTACATAAATTACTTAATCTCACTGAAATTTAGTTTGTTTTCTATAAGTTTGACATAATGTACACTTGTTAAGATTTTATCTTACAATAACTGAAAAATTGTAAAAGAAAATGAGCTAAACCTGCTGTAGTTTCACTCATGGCAACTCAAGTTATAAATCTTTATGGGAACAGGTTTCACATCCTTCCCCCACAGAACAGCTGATAGATTTGAAATGTTAATCTTTTGGTTGATAATCCAATATACAACGATGTATTCCTCCAGAATCCCTTACTGACTACTACAGTCTCAGTTAACTGAATTTGTACTAGCTTCTTTTGGCAATGTACATTCTATCAATACAATATTTTGGGTAAGCAATATCAAGATGTTGGATATAAGGGTTTTTATTTGACATTTAAAGACAGCAATTGCTTTCCCAGCAATGCCAAAAGTGATTCCAAATGGAAAAATCCATGTTTAAAATGGCTCAAGGTTATTTGTTGCTGTGGTTACCAGAGGAAGACCATATGATTTAGGGCTGACTTACCACACTGTCCCAGCCTGCAGAGCAGAGGACACAGTCACAGCTTTATCAAGATCCTTGGTAAAGACTCCCGCCACTAAGCCATAGTAAGTGTTGTTGGCTCTCTTGATCACTTCATCCAAAGATTTAAACTTCATGATTTGCTGGACTGGTCCAAATATCTACACCAGAGGGAATGAGTAAAGAGGTCAACTAATAATAGATTAAGACAATTTAAAATTATAGTATGAATTTTTTTCCTCTTTGAAAGTATGCTAAATTGATTAAGAATTTCCTACTTCTATCAACTTGATGTTTAAAAATAAAAATAGGTAATTGTGGGGACAAAAAGTAAAGACAGGTAACATTTACATGTTAAATCATCTTTAGGAGATGATAGAGTACAAGTAAATATTTCAATATTAATTTTTGTAAGAAATTAAGGTTTCTAAGAATTTATGATGGTACATTAAATCATTGACTTCAGAATTTCATACTCATTTAGGAAAATTTTTCATTCTTCCCCAAGTTTTCCTTATCTTTCAAAAGGAACAGAATATACAAATAGCAATTCAGAGAAAGTCAAGCTTGTTCTACTGGATAATTTTTTTTATATATGCAAGGCTTAATAATGATCTGCTAAATATCACATGTTACTATATCAGATCTTCTATTGGCCTTAGATTATTTTCCCCCATAGTTAGTTAGATGCCAGAGAAACCAGAATGTTGAGGGGAAAATATTTTAATGAAACAATATAAGATTTTGTTCTGATGTTACAGAGGACTCAAACTTTAGCCAATTCTCACATTGCAGAGAGAGTGTCTCATTACTACAGTAGCTCACATCCTTCTCTACAGTGTGCTAACCTGGGGTCATGACGTATTTTTCCCTTAGTTCTTCCTAATGTTGTTCAAGACATAAGCAGATCTAAACAGACAAGTATCTGTCACTAAGTGCAAAAATTACCAAATTCTATTAACCTTGAGTAACTACTCATTTATACTAAGTAATTTATAGACATACTTTCATTTTGCTTTTCCTATTTGTATCTCTGTTTGCAACTCTAATTCCGATTCTGAACTTTCCCTCTTCTATGATGGCATTGTTGGGGCAAGAAAAAGAGCTCTCATGAGTGTGAAATACAAGTTTGATGAATGAAAATATGTTACAATTCAGTGTATTCAATTATCAGTGTCTTAATACAACATCATCACGGTCTATAGTCAACAGATCAATCTTTTCATTTTATAACATTTTATAATCATTTTATAACTCTTGCTCAGTGTCCCTAAGGTACTCTAAGAACCGCAATGAGGGTTGCAGAGTGGATAATATTTGGGGTAGGGGGTGGGATTGGGGGAGGTGCGGGGGGGATTGTGTACCAATGAGGGAGTTTTTCTTTTGCTTTTCAAGGAGAGGAGCAAAGGGGGGGGAGGGGTGAGGTGGTGTGGGCGGGGAGAAGGGTGCTACAATGAATGGAATTCCATTATCTCTGTAAATGTTCATTGAAATGAAAAATAAATAAATTAAAATATATTAAAAAAAAAAAAAGAACCTGGAGAAAATGAAAGTCATACAAGTGTTTAGGTCTTTTGTTCATTGGATTGCTATGAGTCACTTATGACTCGATGGCACTTAACAACAACAACAAAGCAAACTTTTCCTAGTTATTTGTAGCATCTCTAAATAATTTTTAAGCTTATTTTAGTTGCAAAGATACATATTTAACTGCCTAGGAAAACTAGGAAGTACAATGTCTAAAAAATATAGGGACAACTTCTGGTCATCTAAGTTGATTCTTTACTATTTTTAGTCTGAATACCAAATAAATGTTTGTCAATAATAGAAACAAAAGATAATATTTATTGAAAACATATTTAAAGAACTCAGACTTTAAAGAACTGACACCTGTAAGTGGACACTTTGGATACACACACAGAAACAGAACAGAATGGAACGACTTACTTCCTCCTTGGCAATTCGCATGTCATCTGTCACATTGGAGAAAACTGTGGGCTGGATAAAGTAACCTTTATTCCCCCAGGGGCCTCCTCCACATTCCAGCTTGGCCCCTTCTTTCTTACCACTCTCAATGAGTTCCATTATTTTGTTGTGTTGGGCCTTGTTAATCTTTTGGAAAAACAAAATCCAAAAAGAAGGGTGAGGTATTAGTTAGTGGTTTGTGACAGTAAAACATAGCCTGACCTGTAAACGTGATATATTGTTATTATTTAAAATATTGGATAAACACAGTTGGCAGGGACTGTAATTCAGTCTTTGTGTATTTGTTCTTATAACTTTTCTGGAAATAAACCTTAAAGTTTTTGTATTGCATTCTTGTTTTATACCATGTACGAAAAGCAAATGGGCAATGTAAACAGATAAATCTTTTTATACCTTTACTACCCTTTACTTACTTTGGAATAAATTCCTGTTCACAATCCAACACACTTACCTGAACACATTGGGCATAACTAAAATTTAAAAAACTGGAAAAAGGAAAAGAAGAGTATGTACACTGGGTTTAAGCAGATATCTTTTTCTTCATCGTTTTGACTCCGAGTAGGAACAAATTCAAACCTGATCCTCCCATGGGGGTTTGGAGGCTTTAAAGCACACAGGGGATTTCTCATCTTTCTCCGTTAGAAGAGTTGATGAATTCAAACTGCTAGAGAGTCACTATCTTTGAGTTAGCAGCAAAGCTCCCTAAGGACCATGCCACTAGGGCTCCCTCTAAATAGACATAACTTAGATATCAGACCTTTCTGGACTTGACACAGACCTTTAAATCTGTAGTATTACTTTGACCCAATCCATGTCTTTGGATTCCACATTCTGATGAGGACCCTTCCCAGTTCAAATTCTGCTGGATGGTCAGGAAACACGATTCCAGTTTCTAGTCTGAACTTAATTATACTTTAAAGCAAAATATATGACACATGGTCTAACATTTCAGTGGTTTTTAAGAAATGTTTTTTTATAAGAAAGAATGAATGAGTCCTGAGCTTCAGTTTGGAATGCTAGGTACACATGTGAGAGAGCCTCAGGCATTGACATTAAAGTTAGCCCATTGTTTCAAAGAAATCCTGGTGGAACAAGGGTTAAAAGGATTACTGTCATGACAGGAGTCCAGAATGAAAGCAACAAAGAGGAGGGGATTTGAGAAGAGAGATTGAATAACAATGAAAGAATTTTTTCTTTTACTTTTCAAAAAGAAAACTGAATGGGGGAAAGGGTGGGCAGGGAGTAAAGTGTAAGGATGAATGAATGGAAATCCGAAGTCTCTGTAAACTTTCATTGAAATAAATTTAAAATAAAATAATATAATTTTTTAAAAAAGGATTGACTGCTAACTGAAAAGTGCAGATTTCCAGTGGCTCAGCAGAAGAAGAAGGAAAAAAAATCCTATAAAACCACTCCTGTAAAAATTTTTGTCTTTGTATACTATGGGACAGTTCTTTAAGCATACAATAAGTCCGAAAGGAAGCTCAGGTGGCCTAGTGTTAAGGAGCTGTGCTCCCTATCTGAAAGCATGTCATTCAAATCTACCAGCTCTTCTGGGGGAGAGAGACGGTCAGTCTTCTCTGATTTACTACCTCTGAAAACCTGCTGAAAGGTCATCTATGGATGGGTCAGTTTCTATTCAACCGTACACAACGACAACAAAACACGAGTCAGAATGCACATACTATCACCACGACTGTGACCTCAATCCTTATTTTGGCTGATAGAGAAATTACATGATTCCCTAATGCCAGCTCACCCTAGTCTTCGTTAAAGGTGCCTTTCTACCCCAGATGTGGTGGGGTAAGGATTAAACTGGTGGGGAGGGAAGAGGAGATTCAGGAAGTAAAGTTGGAAGTTTCTTGCCATTTTACTGTCTTCTTACTGTTTAAATAGGTTTGTTTTCTTTTTTCCCTCTTCTTTGTCTGTGCACACTTCACTTGCACATTGTCTCTTCACAATCTTCCAATATCCAGACAGCATTTTCATAAAGTTATTTACTGGATGCACATACCCAACCTCCACATTCAGAGTATATTAAGTACTGCTTAATATCAGAAACCATGTTATATAATTCAGTGTGATACTGAGTGTGGTCATTCAGGGCCTACCACAATGGGCTTGAGCAGGACAGAGTTTATGAGGATGATGCAGGCCCAGATCTATAGGGTTACTGTGAGTCGTAGTCAGCTTGATGGCACCCAACAATATCAATAACCTGAGTGAGTGTGTAATATTGAATTCTATATTACAAAAAGAGAAGGCTTCTGTAATATTGACTGATTAAGGAAATCACAGTGTTGGTTGGGAGTACCTGGGTGATGCAGAAGGATAATGCCCTCCACTGCTAGGTGAAAAGTTTGGAGCTTGAGTTGACCCAGAAGAAAGTTGTGGAGATTCATTGTGAGACACATGAGGACAACTACCAGGCCAACTGACTGGAAGGGAGTAATATTTATTTCCATTCCAAAAAAGGGTGATGTAATAGAGTTTGGAAATTATAGAACAGTATCACTAATATCACACAAAAGCAAGATCCTGCTGAAGAATATTAAAAAAAAAAAAGACTGGAACAGTACATTAGCAGAGAGCTGCCAGATGTGCAAGCTGAGTATAGAAGAGGGAGGGTAGATTACTAGGAACATCATAGCCAAAGTTAGATAGATCTTGGCCGAAATCAGAGATTACCAGAGGAATATTTACCTGTGTTTCATTGACTATGCAAAGGCATTGACTATGTTGATCACAACAAATTGTGGCTAACTTTGAGGAGAATAGGAATCCCAGAACACTCAATTGTGCTCCTGTGATACCTATACTCAGACCAGAAAGCAGTCCTCAGAACAGAGCAAGGAAAATTGCATGGTTCAAAATCAGGAAGGGAGTGTGTCAGGGATGTGTGCTGTCTCCATACCTTTTCAAACTATATGCAGAACAGATCATTCAGGAGGCTAGGCTTTATCAGGAAGAATGTGGCATCAGGATTGGAGAAAGACTTATCAACAACCTGAGATATGCAGATGACACAACCTTGCTTGCTGAAATTGAGGATGATGTGAAGCACTTGCTGCAGAAGATCAAGGACTGTAGACTTCAATGTGGATTGAAGCTCAACATCAAGAAGACAAAAATTCTTATCACTGGGCCAATTGACAATGCCATGATAGATGGAGAAGAGATTGAGGCTGTCAATAATTTCAGCTTGCTTGGCTCCACAATAAACACTCTTGGTATCAGCAGTTAGGAAATCAAAAGACAAATTGCACTGGGAAAATCTGCTGTCAGTGACCTTGCCAGAATAGTGAAGAGCAATGATGTCAGTGTAAAGATTAAGGTAATCCAGGCTGTAGTCTTTGCAATTACTTGCTATGCATCAGAGAGCTGAATAATGACTAAGGATGACAGAAAATAATGGATGCCTTTGAGTTGTGTTGATGGAGAAGAGCATTGAATATAGCATGGACTGTCAGAAAAAAACAGGTCTGTCTTGGAACGGGTGAACCCAAATTTCTCCTTAAAGGCAAGGATTTTGTCTTTCTCACATACACTGGGCATGTGGCCAGGAGGGTCAAGTCCTTAGAGAAGGATGTCAAACTGGAAGGGTGGAGGGACAGTATAGGAGAGGACCCTGGATGAGAAGGACAGACATAGCAATTAGGGTAATGGAGTTAGGTGTGAGATGTGTTTGAGTCAGTGAGACTTGCTCAGGATAGGTTAGACTTCAGAACTATTGCATATAAGGTCACTATGAGTTGCAGGTGACTCGATGGCACACAACAGCAGCAACACCTGAGTAAAAATCTCCAAATACTTTAAAGTTGTAAATTTATAAATAAAACAAGGTCTTTCTATCATTTTTATTTTTTTCTCACATCTTTAATCTATAGCATGTCCCACCCACAAAAACTGGGAAACACCAGAACAGGATGCTTTCTTTATCACTAGAGTTATATTAATTACTCTACATCACTATACAGATGAAGCTTTATATTAAAAAGATAAATAGATATGAAAGAACCCTACGTTATTAAAAAAAACAACAGCAACAAAACCCACAAAACCTGGTCCAAAGAAGAAAAAGCTTCTCTTCTGATAATACCATTTCTTTTCATTTTATACCCACCTGTGGGCCATGATTTACTCCTGGGGTCAGAGGATTGCCAAAAACGTACTTCTTTGCTCGCTCAACACTCCTTTGAACAAATTCATCATAAATTGCTTCTTCCACAAAAAGCTTTGAAGCAGCGATACAACTTTGGCCCTGGTTGGTGAAGACTCCTTGGTGTGCAAACTCAACTGCACTGTCCACTGTAAGGAAGACACAAGATTGAAAAAGAGCTGTTTTATATATATTTTTATGTATATATCCAAGAGAAAATATGATTGTGTAGAAAGATTGTGAGTTTAATAGACTCAGTATATTCTTTCTCTAACCAGATACTGAAAAATTAATCTTTCTGATCCTTTGCTTAATATGAGAAGAATATTAATATAAATATATATCTTTAAAACCAGCAAATAAATGTATTATGAAAGTTTTAATATCAGCATTACTAAAAATATAAGATTAATTCTCTTTGCAAATTCTCTTCATAAAAATTTCTATTGAAAAGTAGTTTTATAAAAGAATATTTCTTTCCTGCCTCTGGTTTTAATAAGATAACAGTGAAAATCTAAATATTCTAGTACCTTAAGTAATTAAAAATGTTTCACCTAATTAATAGAACAAACGATACATAGGGGAAAAAAATCTAATTCTCAAAATCTGTCCCCCACTTTATTACTTTATTCTCAGAAAGAATTTGAAAATTTACTATGTAAATAATGTGATATTATTACTTTTTTTATGTTTACAAAATCTTATCTGCTTTTATGAGATGGTTTAAATATTTCTCTAAAAGGAAAGTTTAGATTACTTCATTAGATCCTAAACAGGATGAAACTAAAAGTTTCATTTCACTTAACTATGTAAATACTGATTATCTAATATGCTAACACCAGTCTGCTTTTCAAATTTTTTTAAACTATTAATATCTAGTCAAGTTGTAACAGAATCACTTTATAGAAGGGTTTGGTAAAATCAGAACTCTTGCCACTTTTGTAGAATATATAATAATAAATGTAAAGGAATTTTTCTATTAATTAACAATAAAGGCAATTCTATGAACACAAGCTCGCTAAAAGATTTAAGATAAGACACCATAACTGACAGGACTAGCACAGCTTTGCAATACTTACCTGACCTAAAGCCATGAAGTTGAAAGTCAAAGAGGCTGTGAATATACTTGAGAAGTTGTCCTGACTGAGGAATTGTATCCTGTTTCCAGCAGAACTTGCAACCTGTTACTTCCCTAATAAATCCCATAATTGTGAAGTATGTTTCTGTGAGGTATGTGTGGGTATTGTGTAGGAGTGTAAGGCCCGTATATGACCTATTAGGAATAGACTTCTCTGCTGGACATTGTGGTTTGGTATTGTTCTCTCTTGTGGAATTAGTGCAATTCAGACTCAGCTGCCCCCACATCACCTTCACTCTTTGCAGGTGGTGTCAGAAGTGGGATCCTCCACAGTGACTCCAGACTGACAGAAGCACAGTGCTTTGCAAGAACAAGAAACATGGTAAGTACACTTAAGATTGTAAATTTTATTGCTACTAATGACCTGACAAAAGCCAAAAAGCCACTTTTCATTTAAGACAAAGAGTGGAGATCTGGGACATATGCATAAGCAGAAAAGTGAAGATGAACCTGTGTTCTTTTAAAAAGATGTGTATCAGATTTATGTGTTTATCTAAATATACTTGAGGGATAGTGGTGGCAAGATGTATGATAGAAATAGATATTAGGTATTGTAGAATACAGAAAGTTAGTAAGTCCCCTTTCTGCTAGTATTTGAAAAGAGATGCTAGAAAAAGTAAGAGATGTTTTCCCTAGAAAAATGCATTAAGTAGTAGATCTTTGCTGAACATATTAAGCTTCATTTGGGGGAAAAATTAAGCCTTATCTATCACTGAGTCCAACAAGGAAATGTAATTAAAAAAAAGAAATTACTAAAACAGTGTCATCTTCTTCCAGCCTTTTGATCTAATGATTTTATTGGCCAGAATGAAAGAAATTGACAGATGTGAAATGACTGTTTTTATAGTTGCTCCTACCAATTTCAGCATGTCTGAAAATACATCTATCTCGTTTTTAAACTTAAAGTAATTAATGATACACTAATATATAATATATATCATTACATGCAATACAGAGGGACAAAAATATATTTTGACTGCTATTATGAGTTAAGTTTTACTTCTTCAAAAAAGATATGTTGACACACTAATCTTTAGTTCCTATGAAAGTGACTTTATTTTAGAAACATAGTCAATGTAGATGTACTAAGGATAAGACAAGGGCACTATTGTTGACCTTGATCTATAATGACTTATGTTCTCATAGAAATCTGAGGAAAAAACCCCAGACACATGAGTAAAGGTGAATATGTGACAATAGTTGACAGAGGATGGTATTGTGTCGTCAAATGCCAGTGAATATCTGAGGCTACCAGAAAACTTTGGTAATGGTAAGGAGGAAACTCTTGCTGGAGATTTTGGGATGTAACATGGTTTTGAACACCTTGATTTTTAAATTTTAATAAAAAACATATAAGAACATCAAGTCTGATTACGTTTTGGTGCCCAGTTTGCAGTTCTCAGATAAGACAGTTATATGGCAATAACGTCCCAGATATAAACCATTTACTTTGATGTTCTGCTGAAATGAGTAGTAATTTATTCCAAATTGGGAAGAAATAACTTATGTGTTAGACTTACCTATAAGTTATATGTTTAGGGAATTTATGGGATTTTGAAGAGTAATTTTGAACTCTGATTATTTATGTTTTAACTCTTCTGTGGAACTCTTCCCTGGTGACCCCATTTCTTTCTTTTTTTTTTTTTTAATCTCCTATGTAACATCCTAGAGAGCTCTTGTGGCCTAGTGGCATTAACTGTGTTCCAAAGGCACACAGTTTGAATCCACCAGCTGCTTCATGAGAGAAGGATGGGCAATCTCCACATCAAAGTCCATATTGGACTGTGCTATTTGATTACAACTGTTGGGGTCAGAGAGAAAAAAGAGAACATGGTAATGTGGTTCCATAGAAGAAGCGCAAAACAGAATTATGGCACCAGCCAGTGGAATGGATCAACATCGGACAACTGTCCACCCAGCAGGAGTCAGTGAGGTGATGCAAGGAGGCAGTCACTGTGGCAAGTAAAGTAAGGAAGGAGCGAGCTTACAGAAATGAAGAGCCAATGAGGGACACACACTGTTAGCCTTTTATGGATGCTTTTATCTTGCCTAATAAACTTTGCTCTGCTCTTACTCTTTTTCTGCCTGATTTGTATCTTCTTCTTTTATTCTTACTGATTACAACTTGAGAAGCAACTTCTATAGATTGCATCAAACTAACAAACCAGGTCCAAGTGATGTCCCCAAACCCTGAAAATTACTTTACATTTTGATTTTCAAAGTAAATCCTTCTGTAAATTCAAATTCATTCTGTGACATTATCACACACCACCAAAATGACAGGTGACAAGTTGGCACAGTAGATTGTACTTACAGTCAGCGTCCGCAAACACGATGCAGGGGTTCTTGGCACCGAGCTCCAAGGTCACCCTTTTCAGATTGCTCTTTGCAGCAGCTTCTTGGATCATTTTACCAACCTGGAATGAGGTTTAACAAAGTAGGGGCTTACCAGCTTCCATGAGTATACTAAATGTATACGATGTGTGTGCCATAGTTAAATTTCATTTGGGAGAAACATTAAAAATGGAAAATTTTAAGATTGGGCACCTTTACATCTACAGGACTTCTCGGTATAAATGAAAAGCTTTATATTTTTGTTACGTAAACTTTTTGTATAACAACAATGACTAAGTAGTTTCATCATATATGAACTCCCTTTCACTCAAAAATTAAGTCTCCATCAAGACTGAACAGGAGATAATGAGATACTCGCTGAGTGTAGGCTTAAAATTTAGGGTGTTCTTGAACTATTTTTACCACATATTATAAAAAATAAATGCAACCCATTTTCATTGAGCTAGTTTGTGTATATAATGATCTTGTTGGACCGTGTAGTACTGCCTCATAGACATATAACTGTTTACTAGCACTATTATAGTCTTTTTAAAGAAACTTTGGTAGAGTTGCTGGGTCCACCCTGTATAGGAGCCATGACAGTGGACTACAGTGATGTAGGGGGAACACACAAGTGACTCAAGTCAAAGTTTTGGTTTTTTCAAGTGAACATGGTAATTTTTGTCCTCCCCCTTTGATTTATATCTCTGTTAACCAACCAAGAATGATTATAACTGTGTGTAAGTGCAAGATGTGGCAAGGTCTGATCTGTTGTTTATAGGATCTCTGTGAGTCATAGTGGCCTCAATAGTAGTGAAACATTTCCTAGGATTTTATATTATTGATCTTATACTGTAAGTGGTATAAGATCATAAAAAGGGAGCTCTGGTGGCCTAGTGGTAAGAAGCTGTGCTGTAATCTTGAAAGCATGACGTTCAAAGCAAGCTGCTCCGAGGGAGAAGGACAGACACTCTTCTCCCACGCGATTAACTGCCTCTGAAATCCCACTGCAGAGTCAGCTATGGGTCGGTTCTGACTTGACAGTACACAACAACAACCACCACCTACCATAAATGACCTTTTGGTGACTGACATGTCACTCAGCATAATTTCCTCTGGATTTATCCATATTATACATTGTTTCATTAATTCTTAGTTAGTTCATTAATTAGTTCATACTACCCCATTATAGGCATGTACTCATTTTTCTTTAGCCACTTGTCCATTGATGAGTTGGATTATTTCCAACCCCTTGCAATTGTAAATAACACTGCAATAAATATGAGAGTATGTTTCTAGTGCAGTTCTCTTTTCTTGGGATATATACCTACTAGTGAGGTGATTGGATCAATATGGACTGCATCTCAACATCAAAAAAACAAACATACTCATGACCAGGCCAACAGACAGCACCATGATAGATGGAGAAAATACTAAAGCTGTTAATAATTTAATCTTACTCAGATCCATAATCAACACCCTTGGCACCAGCAGTCAGAAAAATCAAAAGACAAGATGTTTGTTTATCTTTCAGTTCTTTCAGTGAAAGGTACACGGCTCTTCAGGTGGTGACCCTGCTAATCTGGATGACTGTAGGCCAGGCATACACAATTTATTGGTTCCCAGGGGGTGGCTGAGAATTTAGAATCGTGCCATGGTTCCTCCAAAAAGGAGTGGAGAGTTAGACTTTGCTATTTAATTTCTATATTTCACACAGTAAAATTATGTTCATTTATGTAAATCACTGTGACCTTAATTATAATTTTTGTCATAACTTTATTACAAACATGCTAATATCTAAATGGTACGAAGATAATGAATACATTGAGAATCATTTTCTCAGTATTCCTGAGCTTGTGACAAATATTTCATCTCATCTAAACTCTTTCTGCTTATACTCATATCCTAGTCTTCACATATGTATAAATGTATAGAACATACTTGAAGATTAGAATGAGGAACGAATCATTGGAAAGAATTTTTTTTTAAGGAAATGTCAGCTCAGAAATTGTCATGTAAAGCATGCTTCTGACAGTTGGAGAGGCAGACATTCGTTGTCACTGCCTGTGTAATGGTCTCACCTCTGTTGATCCTGTGAACGCCACTTTGTCGACATCCATGTGGGAAGAGATGGCTGCTCCTGCAGTGGGTCCATAACCCGGCACAATATTCACCACTCCTGGGGGAAACCCTGCCTAAAAGGTGGAAAACAAAAAGTTAACAGCAAAACTGAGAACTTAATTCTATGAAAGTAGAGGAGACTATTGGGTCGAAACTATCTCTTTACACTGATCTTATAAATGCCTCTCCCAAACTCATCACCATGGAGCTGATTCTGACTCAAGGGGAAGAGTGGGATGTCCCCATGGGGCTTCCAAGGCTGTAGCTCTTCCTCGGTACTATTGCTTATCTTTCTTCTGTAGAGCGGCTGGTTCAAGCAATCAACACTGTGTTTAGAAGTCCAGTGCTTAACTACTGTGTCACCTATAAAGAAACAGTCACTTAAGGATATTTATTATTCTTATTTCATTTAGGATACATAAAAGAGCCACAAATGTTTCATTCTCAAAGGATGATTTTTCTTCATTATAAATCTACATTTGATTTTTAAGCATTGTTGTTCTAATAATAACCATCTCAAATCCCAGTGCTGCTGTGTCAATGAGTGAGCTCATCAGTTCTGCCCTTTTGAGCAGAGTAGAATTTCCCCACAGGATTCCCCGTGCTGTCATCTTTATGAGAGCAAATGCAAAGTCTTGCCATTTTGGAACTACTTGTTGCTTGAAAGTCTTCAGCTTTCAAGTTAACAGGTGAGCAATTAAACATTGTGCAAACAAACAAAAAGCCAAATCCATCGTCATCTAATTGATTCTGATTCACAGTCATACTCCACTGAGCTTCTAAAGCTGTAAACTTTAACAGAATGAGGCTGCCCACAGAGCTCCTTAATTTCATCATAGATACTCCAAAAGAATAATCTGAGTCTTATCAGTTGAAAGTTATCTCCCAAAAATATTTGCTAATGGTTAACTCCTATACTTATGATGCTTTTTGGGGAATAAGGCATTTGAAGATTGTATCAATCCTGTTAACATTCCAGAATAGGGTGGGTATGGATTCCCCATGCCTTGTGTGTTCATAAAACGGAGGACAGGATAAGTGAACCTGAGGAAGAATGTCACGCAACGCTGCAGCTGCAAACCAAGGATCACCAAATTGAGCCAAGAACTAAGAAGTTGTCACTGAATGACTCATTTACAATGCCCCAAGCATGTCAGGGTAGAACTGTACTCTGTGTGATTAAGAATGGCTCATGTTTTGGACAGCCTACAAGGACTTTCTTCTGAGGTAGTTTGAGTGGCATATTATTAGTACAGATCTTTTGGATAGTAGCAAGCCTGGATGAACTAGTGCAATTCTACAGAGCTACCACAATTCAACACTCTTGACACGGGCGGCCAGGAAATTAAAAGACATACTGCACTGGGAAAGTCGGCTGTCAGAGACCTCTCCAAAGTACTGAAGAGCAATGATGTCAGTCTGGAGACCAAGGTGTGCCTGATACAGGCCATGGTCTTGGCAATCATTTGCTATATATCAGAGAGCTGGACAATGACTAGAGATGATAGGACAATTAATGCCTTTGAGCTGTGGTGTTGGAGAAAATTATTGAATATACCATGGACTGTTAAGAGAACAAACAAGTTACTCTTGGAGAGAGTTAAACCTGCCTGCTCCTTGTAGGGAAGGACTCTGAAGCTTTGTCTGACATACTTTGGACATGTTGCAAAGAGGGACCAGTCCTTGGTGAAGGACATCATGCTTGGAAGAATGGAGGGACAGCACAGGAGAGGAAGACCCTCAATGAGACGGATTGACTCGGTTACTGGGGTAATGGGAATAAATGTGTCAGAGACAATAAAATTGGCACAGGATAGAGCAGGGTTTAGGGCTGTTGTACATAGGTCGCTACGAGTCGCAGGCAACTTGATAGCACAAAGCAACCACCACCACCACCACATGGCAGTTACAAATAAACACTTTACCATATAAAAGAAAGCTGCATAAATTTCAAATTTCATTTGTATTCATAAAAGATGGACAAAAGAAACAAAAAAGTGGCAATCAGTGATTGTTATACACCAAACAAGGCTGATTTGAATTGACTGCCAGAAATTCAAGGCAGGGTCATGCTAAAGGCTGCCCATCGTGGGCCAGGAGCCACCTGCTGTGAAAATAGTGTACAGGAGAGCCAGTGACATTTCTGTCCTAAACTATGGCTCCTGAGTTCGCATGTCTATTTTTATTTGTGATGCTGTTGTTAGGTACCATCAAGTTGACTACAATTCATAGGGCCTTAATGAAAAGCAGATCTGAACCTTGCCCTACTCAATGGTTTGTGATATGTGACTTACCTCCTTTATTAAAGATGCCACATGAAGAGCAGTGAGAGGAGTTTGCTCTGCTGGTTTGACAATTACAGTGTTTCCACAGCAAAGGGCAGGCCCTATCTTACAAGCAAGCAAAATCATCGGGGCATTCCACTAGAAAACAATATTGAACAACAGAATTGTTATGTTGCTGGAAGACATATTTCCTATTCTAACTCCTCCATTATTCTTACCATAGAGATATTAAAAAGCAATTGTGGTGCTGCCCAAAAATCTGAGCTATTTTATTGGAATCTATTATTCAATTCAGTAAGGAAAGAGCAGAGACAGTCATGAAATTTAATGAAATGCTCTTATATGGAGTTCTATTTCCACTATAAAAAAGATTATTAGATGCCTAGGAAGTTGATCCTGACTATAAAACAAAGTGTAAATTATGTGCTCAAACCATTCAGTGATTCTTTTCTCCCAAAGGTCGACAGTACTAGTAAATAGCATTTCATTTTAAAACAAATATATTGTTAATAAGCAAAGACATCTTAAGACTGGCTTCATGATAACTTGCTTTGTGAATTCTGGAAAGTGATTTGCTCTCCATGCCTGGTCACGCTGTACATGCTGAGATCCCATTGACCACCATGCGAGTGACTAGTTCACACATCCATTAGTACACTAACTAGTATAATAGTACATGTCCTTAGTATTCAAGATTATATGTATTTCACCAACTTTTTAAATTAATGATTCATTCAAAATGCTGATATGTTTATGTTTCAGTCTCACTGGAACAAAAACAGCCTTATCATCACTTTCTCAGGAAATAACTTTAGGACTCTTTGCCATCTTTCTATTTTCTAATAGGCCAGTCAATGTGAAATAATTTAGATAGGCTCCTGTCAGTGAGGTTTCAAAAAAATTTTTTTTCATGATTTGCTTAGACTACTACCTTTTCTAACAGGAATTTAGAGGATTAGAATTGTTAATCTAAAGATGGAATGTGTTTTAACTAGTCTCCAAAAGCCTCTGTAGCATTTTTATAATTTTAAGTTAATAAAATAATTCTTTTAGGACTTGAACAGTCTCGTTGCTACTATTCTCCATGAGGAGACCTCCTAACAAGGGGATACAGTGTGTTGGAGAGTAGTAGACCTGGTACGTTATCTATGATGGTGTCCTACTGCTGATGGCCAGTGATGTGATACTTCACTTTGTAAAGTATGGGTCTTAAAAAGAAAATGTTACAAAATGTGCTTTTCAAAAGAACCTGTGAAATCAAAATTTAAATTTTGCCATTACTGTAATTTGAAAAAATCTTTAGAGTGATAGGCCAAGATATAGATAAGTTTCTGGGCAACTGAGTTTTTATCCAAGAATTCATTTCCCTGGAGATACACATTGAATGAAACTTGTAATGTGCCTCATTTAGCAAATTCTTTTGAATTTGGTTAAGTTCACCAAACTGAATAGCTTTAGAATATTATTATTGATCTTAACAAAATACAACAGACCAACTTACAGGAAAAATTAGACCACATACACCAATAGGTTCATGTCTTGTGTAACTAAAAAACTCTCCATCTGGAAAATAAAACACAGGCAACAGTCATATTTAGACAAACATATGAGACATCCACGGGATGATAGATTAAGACTATGGGAGAGAAAAGCATAGGAGATAAGTAATGCATCGCTGTTATGTACCATCAAGTCAGAACAGACTCATAGCTGATCCTCCACTGGGTTTTCAAAGACAAAAAAGTCACATGTAGATTATTGCACAACGTTTTTTCTGGTGGAGCCTCTGTGAATTCAGACCCTATGTCTTTGGGTTGGCAGTCCAGTTCTTTACTACTAGGCTACCGAAGTGTGTGTGTGTGTGTGTGTGTGTGTGTGGTGTATTTGTTATTCTGTTGAATCAAAAACAATTTACAGATGACTCTTCAGTGGGTTTTCAGAGGCAGGAAATCACACAGATGCAGATTACCCAATCTTTCTTTTGAGGAGCAGCTGATGGATTTGAACCACATGCTTCTGGGATTGCGGCAAACCTTCTTACCATTGCACTGTGTG